ACCACATATATTATGTAAACACAAACTTTTAATTTGGATGCGATTAATCACGATTAATCGTTTGACAGCCCTAATATATATATATATATATATATATATATATATATGAAGAGTTCAGATGCAAAAGCCTCTAAATGCCATTTCTTTAATGATGATTTTTATCAAACTTGTATATTTAAGTTCAGTAATTTCACTTAAATAACAATTAATAGGTAATTATCATTGCCATTTAAGTGAAATCACTGAACTTAAATATACAAGCTTGATAAAAATCATCATTAAAGAAGAAAATTTCAAATGGCATTTAGAGGCTTTTGCATCTGAACTCTTCATATATATATATATATATATATATATATATATATATTTGTAACATATATATATATATATATATGTGACACTGAAGACATTAATAATGTTACAAAAATACATAAAACCACAGACGTCAAGCCTATCAAGTGAAGCCCTACAAAAGTTTATTTCCTTATAATATTAATAATATTATTGTGTGTGTTGACGTAGGTCCAGCAGAAGGAGGAATCAGATGAAGTCATAGCAAAAGCAGTGAGTGTAAAGCTAGCTGATGCTGCAGGAATCTCTTACTCTGAAATCGCCACTAAAGCATATGAGAGTGGACGCACAGAGCTCGCCATTAAGGTGCGTGCATGCACAGACCATGTACTAATAAAGACAGATTTATTATTAACTGATATTATGGGTTATCAGTCAGTTTATGTTGATCTCTGTCTTTCAGTTGTTGGAGTTTGAGCCTCGCTCTGGTGAGCAGGTCCCACTGTTGTTAAAAATGAAGAAGAGTCCTCTGGCTTTGAGCAAAGCCATTGAAAGTGGAGACACAGACCTTGGTAAAAACACATTCACATCCACCTTTCAAAACTTAAACACACCCTGTTGCCGAAAGACACACATTCGAGATGGTTTACCTACCTACACGTTTTCTTGAATGCTAGTGTACACAGTGGTCATGTACCTGAAGAATGAGCTGAACAGAGGAGACTTCTTCATGATGTTGAGGAACCAACCTGTGGCTCTGAGCCTTTATAGACAGGTACAAACTATGACTCTGAGAACCATAGACATTATTTATGACGAGGATCATAACTAACCTATTTAATAATTATAAGCCAAGGATGTGAATGTGACAAATACCTGTAATGAAATCTCATTGGTCCAAATGATTTTGGCTATGATTTTGTTACTTTATTTACATGTCACTTTCAGAGACAGAAACATTACTATTGCCTATTTAGGATCATTCATATCACCTCTTATAAACCCACACTGTTATTGTTAAGTATTTAACAATTGTATTTTTTTTTTTATGAAATAAAATCAAATTTAAAATACCATATGGAAAAACTTAAAACTAGAAATGTTTTCTTGACAAATAACTGAAATAAGTTGAAGTACTGCAATACTGGAACTATGCTAATTAGAAGTATTTAAAAAAAGAAATTAATTTTAACAAAAACATCATTTCTAAAACTTAAAAAAATTGTTAGCTAAAATATATAAATAAGAATAAAGACTTAATATTATTTTAATAATACTTGAATAATACTTTATAGAATCAGAGATCTCTGTTTACACTTAAATAATGTTCATGCATTGTGTTCTGACTTTTTAAACCTCAATTTTGTGTTTTAGTTCTGTAAACATCAGGAGCGGGATACACTTAAAGATCTTTTCAATCAAGATGATGATCATGAAGAACTTGGCAATTTCTACGTAAAGGCCAGCTATAAAGAGAGGGTAGGCACTTACAAATCTTCATTTTTTTCTCAATTACATGATTTGAATGACAGAAGTGCTTTAAAGAAATTATGATGGCTAAGAAAAAAGAACACCGATGTAGTGTGTGTGTGTGTGTGTAATTGCAGAGACTGGAAGCTCGGATCGCTCTTTTACAAAGTGCGGTGGACGAGTACTACAAAGCCAAGAATGAATTTTCTGCCAAGGTGAAGCCCTCAGACTCTTCTGATACAGGCAGATTAGCAGCCTGGGTCAGAGTTTAGTCTCTGTGTAGCCAGAACATTACATCTGTGTATTATCAAGAGCTCTCTCTCTCTTCTTTTTTCTCTCTCTCAGGCCACAGAAGATGAGATGCGTCTGCTGCGGTTTCAGAGGAAGCTAGAGGAAGAGAAGGGTGAGCCGCTCGTGGGATTCACTCTTCATGAGACCATGACCATGCTTCTGTCTGTGGGACTGCACAAACACGCCGAACAACTTTACAAAGACTTCAGAGTACCTGACAAGAGGTGTGCCTTCTAACTATAGTTTTACTCACAGGATTTATAGTTTGTCTTTCCCACTGGCGGTGACGCATATGTGAGTGCAACTGCTTTTTAAACAATAAAAGGTAGGGTGGGACTTGATTTTGTCCATGGGGAATTGATTGGATGGTTGTGGTTTGCTATTGCTGTGATCTCATGTGAGTGACGGGTTGTCAATTGGTTATTTCGGACTTGCCAGTTCGCTTATGTAAAACCGTTTTGACTTTCAAGACTGTAGTTGTAATGCAACCTATAAAAAATTATATTTGCTAGCAGGGGGATGAGCTGGGTATATGAGTGTAATCCAAATGAATAGGTTAAAATGTAAACATCTGATTCAGCAAGTGGTAATAAATGTGTCAAATGTGCTGCTTTTTCAATGCTTGTCTCTAAATAAAGATTAATATAATGTGAATTTCATGATGATACGAGTGAAGGTGTTTCTTGTTTATCAGGTTCTGGTGGCTGAAGTTGAAGGCTTTGGCTGAGAAGGAGGACTGGGAAGAGCTGGAAAAATTTGCCAAAAGCAAAAAGTCTCCTATTGGATATCTGGTAACTAATGTCCTTTTGATCTGTCTTAGAATTATTGTTGTGAATTAATCTTACTTCTGTCTTTCTTGGATTACAGCCGTTTGTTGAGGTGTGCATTAAACGCCATAACAAATTTGAAGCCAAGAAATACGTCTCTAAAGTCACACCTGAGCAGAAGGTCAAAGCTCACCTTGCAGTGGGGTAAGAGGTTATTACGAAAAGTATTTAAATAGTTAGACTATGTTGTGTAAATATAATATAAATTATATATAAATCTATATACAGTATATACATGAAAATATTTCTTAAATATATACAAGTATGTGTGTGTATTTGAAGAGTTCAGATGCAAAAGCCTCTAAATGCCATTTGAAATTTTCTTCTTTAATGATGATTTTTATCAAACTTGTATATTTAAGTTCAGTAATTTCACTTAAATAACAATTAATAGGTAATTATCATTGCTATTTAAGTGAAATTACTGAACTTAAATATACAAGCTTGATAAAAATCATCATTAAAGAAGAACATTTCAAATGGCATTTAGGGGCTTTTGCATCTGAACTCTTCATTTATATATATATAAAATAATTATACACAGTGCACCCACATATATTATGTAAACACAAACTTTTACTTTTATCAAACTATTATATATATATATATATATATATATATATATAGCACCACAACTAATGCTAATAAAAATAAATGTTACCAAATTCTATCAGATCAGCATATTATAATGATTGTGACACTAAAAACTGGAGTAATGATGCTGAAAAAATCAGCTTTGCCATCACAGGAACAAATTACATTTGAAAATGTTTTCAAAACAGAAAACAGCTTTTAAATTGTTATAATGTTTCATAATATTACTGTTTTTAGTGTATGTTTAATACTGTACCCCAAACTTTAGAATTTGAGTGTTCATGATAAAGACAAAGAGCCACTGTGTAATATTCTCTGTCACTCAGGGATGTGGAAGGTGCCGCAGAGGCTGCTATCGAGAGGCGTAGTGAATCCGAGATCAGTACAGTTCTGTCACGCTGCTCGTCCACCACTGATCATCTTCTGATTGAACGCCTCAACCGTGCTAAAGCCACTGCTGCCAAAAAGTGAGCCTGTCCACCTCTGCCCTACTCAACTCAACTGCATTTGCTGCCAAACAGTGAACCCCTGTGCACCGCAAAGAAGCACGCTGCAGAATTTGCATTCAGATGTGTAAACAACTCCTGGTGTTATGGAACATTTTCATGAAAATTCTGCACAATGAAGGAACATGTCTTGGATGGACGCACGGAGAAAAAGACAGACAGCAAGAAAAAGCATCTCAGCATTTTATGTTTTTCTGCCTCTGTCGGGCAGCTAGAAGCAGTTCCCATCTTGCACTTCACTGTAAACCTTAACCTTTGTACCTACAGTTGCATTATGAACCATTGTGTTTGTCGTAGAATTATACTGTCATTCATCATATGCCTCTATGAATATAACAAAACATTTGTTATTTTAATTAAACCATGATTGGCTACCAGAATGTGTTTGTTGGAATGTTTGCACCTAATAACACAGTTCGGAAAGCCCATTTCTGCCACATAAGAAATGAAAAAAACAAACTTTGGTAAATCTTAAAAATGACATACTAAGTCATAATTATGAAAAATGCTAAATTGAAATTATGAGATAAAAAGATGTCAGAATTATGAAATAAAAACTCATAAGAAAAGTCAAAATTACAATACTAAGTTATGAGAACAAGTTATTATATAATATAAGTTATATTATAATATAAGATATAAGTTAATAAAACATTTAAATTATGTCTTTCACTACATGATGACTTATTACTGTACATATACATTTTTAAAAAAAAATGCTAAGTCAGAGTGACGAATTCATAACAGATTAAAAATCCCAAAATAAGGGATAGTTAGTTTCTGTCAGAATTATGATTTTATGTAATCCTTTACTTTTTAAGTCATAGTTTCGACTTTGTATTTAACAGTTTCTTCTTTTTGTGTCATAAAATGTTCGTCTTAGATTTTAATTTCTCACAGTCACGCTTTCCTCTCATGCCCAAAGATTGATAGACATGGGGTCAAACTCCTCTCAGCTGCACTTTAATCCAGATTTGTGTTTTGGGGTGCATTTATAAGTGGGACCGCAGGGGACGCTCTCTTTCATTCAGTCTTACTTCACATCACATACTGTATGCGGAACTCTTGCAAAGTGCGAAACTACTGCAACACCGACCAGAGTGGACGAGAAGATATAAGTTAAAAAGGTACGACAACACAACAAAAGTTTTAGTTTTTGCAGGCAAGGTGATGTTTTTAAAGAGTCGCATGAGTTATCACGTGGTTTTGTAGTTCACCTCTTCCACAAAATGTGCTGATTTCTCCAGTTCTGATTGTTTTGTTGGTGTCACTTCAGTCACTATATCTACAAATGAAACATTTTGTCGACGTTTGTCTTACAAATTTCGTATGTTTACCTTGCACGCAGTCTTATTTATATATATTTTTAAATCATTTGTGATAAGAGAATAGTTTCTAGTGCGTTTGTAGCTATACGAGCATGTTACACAATGACAAAATGTGATTGAACAACAATTTATGATGCATATGCATAAATGCATGTATGCTGATTTTCACTTAACAGTATTTCGTTAATAAGTGTCAGATGAATTATCGATTTGATTATAGTTAACACTGCAACATATTTGTCACGAATTTATTTAAAGCTCATGCTTGAATTTATAAAATGTAAATGTAGGCTATTTTTACAATACTAAATGTTCACAGTTAATATTATTAATAAGTGATTAACAAACAATTAAATAATTCAAAATAATAATGGTAGTATATGGCGCTATCAGTTTCATCAAAGCCTGTTGGCTCAACCAATTGTGTGGGTTTGGGGTGGGACTACATATTTGCTCGACCAATGGCAGACGAGGGTGATGTTGTGGGGAAACCGGTTTGACAACAGTTCATTAAAGAGATAGTTCACTTTAAAATTAATTTTTGATATGTTGTATCTTACCTCAAGGCCATCCAAGATGTAGGTGTCTTTGTTTCCACAGTATTTTCAATTTTGATATTTTTTGGTCAAACCGTTTTTGTCTTTCAGTCATATAATGCAGGTTTAGGGGGTCCACCCTCGGTTCACCTCAAAGAGCATGCACAGAGAAGTCAAAATTAAACATGATTTAATGACTCGTAAATGTAAGTACAGATTAATGGCCTAAGACACGAAACGAGCGGTTTGTGTGAGAAAACGAACAGTATTTATATCGTTTTTACCTCGTGTAACGACAGCCACGTCCAACTGATCTGAAGGAACGGGCGCTTCACTCTGCGCATGCGCCGGAAGTGATCGCTTGCGTGTGTATGTTGTTTACACAGAGATTTCGGAAGTTTACCTTTCACATATTTAGATATACAGGAAATCGCAATGGAAGATGATTTCGATTTATCTAAATATGTTTAGTGAAAGGTAAAACTTTCTTAGAAAAAAAAAAAACCGATGGTCAACCCCCTAAACCTCCATTATATGACTGATAGACAAGAATGGTTTGACCAAAAAATATCAAAATTGAAAATACTGTGGAAACAAAGACACCTACATCTTGAATGCCCTTGAGGTAAGCTAAAACATATCAAAATTTCAAAGTGAACTATCCCTTTAATGTAATTCCATTTGGTGCCAATAGAGGCGCAGAAATTTAACACGTCATCTTTTACGGATCAGAAGTTCATGAACACAAGATGAATATCACGAGAATTTGATTACTATCTATTTTTTAATGTATTTTAAGTAATGTTTTTGCCATTGCAATTAATGTTATAATGATTGATAAAGTTATACTTACATGGACATCTATGAAAATAGTTTAGAGAATAGTTTAGTTTATTATTTGGCATATGGTTTATTGTACTGAACTTTGTTTTCCTTCATGTTTGCTTAATTAAGCAGTGTCTAAGGTAAAGGTTGTTTCAGGACATCATATACTTAAAAGAACTATACTTGTGTGCTTTAGGTCATGTCATCCATAAAAGTCGAATGTGTTATCAAAGAAAAGAATGAAGTCGGCGAGAGCCCAGTCTGGGAGGAGAAGGACTCCTCTTTGTTGTATGTTGATATTACGGGTCAAAGGGTCAGCCGATGGAACTCTCTGACCCGTCAAATAGAGAGTCTTGCCACAGGTAAGTCTGAAGACATTAGTGTGGGCTGCATTTTTCACTTTCAGTGAACTTGGTGAATATGCAACCACATTTATACCTCAGTTGCCACTTTAAAAGTAATGTATTCAATGTTTTTTGTCTTGCATTTTATTCAAAGATGCATTAGACATTGGTTCAAGTGGGATTATCTTGTATTAATGGTATTGTAGTTTATACTGTAATGCCATATTTTCCCTCTGCACAGAGAAACTTGTAGGCTGTGTGGTTCCACGGCAGGCGGGTGGTTACGTCATCGCGGAGGGAACTCGGTTTGCCTTCGTTGACTGGGTAAAGCGCTCAATTACACCTGTTGCCCATGTCAACGACAAGGAGAAACCAAACACCCGCTTCAATGATGGAAAAGTTGATCCAGCTGGCAGGTTTTTTGCAGGTATTTATGTATATGTAAACTATAAGAAAATGTAAAACTGGTGAGTGTTATTTTGTGACGGTAGTAGTTCTGCATTGTACGTTTTCAGCGTAACTTACAGAAGGCAATAATTAAATAGTTTCTGATAAAATTTAAAGAGACGTTCTAACCAAAAATGAAATTTGTCATCATTTACTTATGCTCATGTATTTCCCGATTTCGTTACGATCCGTTTGACATATGGTGTCGTGGTGATTCATAATCGACTTTGGGTGTCGGGTCGCAAGTCGTTTTATCTTGTATTGTGTCATAGTGGACGACAACCGACGTTAACAATATCTGGACAGAAAGACCAGCATGTTTATTTATTTATTTTTTTTGTCGTTCCAAGACGAGTTATGTCTCATCTGTGACATTGACCAATAGGATTCCAGAAGCTTGTCCACACACAGCTTTCAAACATGGTGAACCGAAAGAGAGACGGATGGTGTTGGTGTGACTAGGTGGAATACTTGAATTAGCATTAGGCTAGTACAACCATTGTTTGTTTATACACTTGTTTCCAGAAATCAATGGCTAGTTCCGCCTTCTCGATGACATCGCATACGTCGCTAAAGATGGCAAGCGAAGATTGGTTGGGAAGCACTGTGTATTTTGACATGTTTCTTGTATTGTATTGGCTTCTAATGTATTGACAAATAATACAATGGAAGTCAATGGGAATCCAAACTTTTTTGGATTCTACAGGACATAAAATCTTCTTTTGTATTCGGCAAAAGGAAGAAATGCCCACAGGTTTGGAACAACATGAGGATAGATAAATGATGACTGAATTTTCTTTTTTGGCTGAACTATCTCTTTAATTCTGTACAGAAAATAAGCCAGTTGAAATAACTTACTTCTCCATGACTGTGTCCAGGTACCATGTGTTTGGACATGAAGCCTGACGTGATGGATGCGGCGCTGTACACCCTCCATCCTGACCACTCTGTTGTCCAGCATTTTGACCAAGTGCACATCTCCAATGGTTTGGACTGGTCACTGGATCACCGCACCTTCTATTACATCGACAGTCTGGCGTTCATGGTGGAGGCCTTCGATTACAACATCCATACCGGAGGACTGTGTGAGTTTGTTTTTACATTGGATGGTGGTCTTGATGTAAAAAACTAAATTGAGTTTTGTAAAATCTGTATTTTTTAAATTTGTGTTTAAGCCAACCGCAGGATGGTTTACAAGATGGAGAAAGATGAAGGCATTCCAGATGGGATGTGCATAGACACAGAGGGCAAACTGTGGGTTGCCTGCTTCAATGGAGGAAGAGTGCTGCGTATCGACCCACAAACAGGTGTGTGAGTTTGCGAAAGTCTATTAAATTAGTGTGGAGATGTAGGTGTCTTTGTTTCCACAGTATTTTCAATTTTGATATTTTTCGGTCAAACCGTTCTTGTCTGTCAGTCATATAATATTGGTATATGGGGTCCACCTCAAAGAGCATGCACAGAAAAGTCCAAATTAAACATGATTTAATGACTCGTAAATGTAAGTACACATTGATGGCCTAAGACACGAAACGAGCGGTTTGTGTGAGAAAACAATGAGTGACGTACATGCACGAGACATGACTTCCGGAGCTTTCCGGCACTTGTGCAGACCGAAGCGCCCGTGCCCTCAGATCAGTTGGACGTGGCTGTGGTTACAAGATGTAAAAACAATATGAAAACAGTTTGTTTTCTCACACAAACCACTCATTTTGTGTCTTAAGGCCAATTTATACTTCTGCGTCGAAGGTACGCCGTAGTGTACGTGCGTACCCAACGCCGTTGTGAGCATTTATACTTCTGCGTTCGGGTCTTGGTTGCTCTGCAGTACTGCTCCGAAACGCTAGTTGGCGGCGGAGGGTTTTAATGTTCCACTGTGTTTAGATTCCTCTCGGCCAGGTTACTACAAGCAATAGCGACTGAAAGAGAGCGGATCATGTTGGAGTTGGAGCTTATTGAGGTGGAAAAACAGTTAATTTTAGAGAAATTACTAAAACTGAAAGGCAGAAATGAGAGAAGACGTCAGAGGAGATGGTACGTGCGGAAATGCGTAGGAGGAAATATGATGGTACCAAGCCGACCAATCACCGATCTTGCGGTCCGCGTCGTCGCGGCGTGTAGTTACATTTTTGAGGAGGTGCGCGTCAGGCTACGGCGAAGGGTACGCGGTATGGGACGCGTCTGTGCGTATGCTACGCCGTACCTACTGCGCGCACCCTACGCAGAAGTATTAATTTGGCCTTTGGGCCATCAATGTGTACTTACATTTACGAGTCATTAAATCATGTTTAATTTGGACTTCTCTCTGCATGCTCTTTAGTCTTTGAGGTGGACCCCATATGCCTCCATTATATGACTGACAGACAAGAACGGTTTGACCTAAAAATATCAAAATTGAAGATACTGTGCAAACAAGACACCCACATCTTGGATGCCCTTGAGGTAAGCTAAAACATATCGAAAATGTATTTCAAAGTGAACTATCCCTTTAAATAGAACATGTAAATGAAAAACAAAGAACAGGTGTACATGTTTTGGGGAAGTCTAAGCTTTCAGTATTTAATGAACTTCCTCTCTCTCAGGCACACGGCTGCAGACTGTGAAACTTCCCGCTGAGAAAACCACCTCATGCTGTTTTGGAGGGAAAGACTACAGTGACCTCTACGTCACCTCAGCGTATACAGGCATGGATTCAGATTCACTAGCCAAGCAACCTGAGGCCGGCTGCATTTTTAAGGTAGACGTAGATTTCATAGCATGCTTAAAGTTGCGTGATATCACCTCTGACACATAATTACACATATTCTTTATTCTTACTCCAGGTGTCTGGTTTAGGTGTGAAGGGCATCCCACCATATTCATACACTGGATGAAATCAAAGGAAAAAGTGCTGTTAATTAAAACGTGATCATTTTGCTGTCACTATACTACAACAATGTTCTAATTGTGCAATCAGTGATATAACTTTAGAAAATCTAAGCTCATTTCAGATGATGATTTAGGGTCCATTCACACAGCATGCTTCTCCATTGCTTTTCTATGCAGAATTGTGCATAGAAAAACATGTTCATGTGTCTTGCAGTGTCTCACGTAAGACAGCGTTCTTAAAACTCAAAAAACTTTTCAACTGTTTTTTTTTTTCAAACATGTTCTGTGTGAATGGCCCCTTAAACATTCAAAGCAGTTTGTCTATATGACTAATATATACGATGAAATTGCATGGATAAGTTTATGTAAAATTATATATTGTTTTAATCTTGTTTACATTAACTACAACAAGAGCAATCTGTGACTTTGTGCAAGGTTTTAGGAAATGATTGCAAGTGATGAATTTTTGTGGATGTTTTAGGTAATTTTACTTGATGCTTGTAATGTATATTAACTATAAAATGAATGCTTGTTTAGCTGTTCTGCTGAAGGGGGTTACTTAATTAAGTCAAACAAGCATGACTTTAACAATTGTGATAACATAATTAACATTTTTAATTATCTTAAATGTCACAGTGACACACCATTCACAACCTATTTTATGTCCATATAATCTGTGGAGGGAAAACATAGGGCAGGACTTTATTTTATCCACTGGGAATTGATTGAATTGGAAAAAGTAGCTGTTATATAGCAAAAATGGTGGCTGGAGGGAAGAGGCTGATTTCAGTCCATGCATTAAAGGAATAGTTCACCCAAAAATGAAAATGTTGTCATCATTTTTTGAACAAAAAAGAAGATATTTTAAAGAATTTGTGTAACCGAGGAGTTGATGGACCCCATTGACATTCGTTGTATTTTTTCTATGCTCTACAAGTCAATGGAACCCATCATGTGTTTGTCCATCAACATTCTTTGAAGTATCTTGATTTATGTTCAACAGAAGTACGAAACATACAGGTTTGGAACAACTTGAGGGTGAGAAAATGTATAGATATTCACTTGTATTTACTTCCCTTGAACAAGAACATAATTGAGTGTGTTTGCTAATCAGATTCAACAGGCTTAATGGAATATACCTTCTGTCCCAAGCCTCAAGCGGTACATATCCTCTGATGTGCCATGACAACCACCTTTCACGTTTCTCATAAACAGTCATGAACTGATGGAAATTCATTCAGGGACCTCAGCATATGCTAGGGGTGTGATATACACCATGAGGGGTGATATAGAGTCTATCGAAAGATGAGCCTCATCAGATGACTCTTTGTCTGTTTTCTGCTGACCAAGTTATGGTAGGGGTCATTCATGCACTACATGACTTATGTGACCGGATTCACAGAATTGCACTTCTTTATGTATATTTCATCTATGAATAAAGTGAATATTAACTGTATTTCTTTCTGGGGAGGATGTTCAACCTTTAATAAAATGTTTCCTTTTTGTGCGTTTTGAGAACATTATTAAAGACCAGATTTAAAGACCAGAACATTTTATTAAAATTACTGGAAGAACATATTCATAAATTTCAGAGAAACAAGCTAAAACCTTTTTTGCCAAAATTCGGAGAATGTTCCCTATTAGCGTTAGCTGGGTTTATGTCCGTTTGCTACATTCGTTTTTGATACAAAAAAAATGCAAGTGTTGTGTCTTCAACAAAACGAAAAACAATCACACTTTCAGATGGTCCCTAACATTGTTGTCATTCAGAATCAGATTCGAGAAAGTGTCACGAGATGAATCTTTACACTTCCAACACAAATTCACCTCTCACAAAATGATCACGACAAACACTAAATGGAATTTCGTGCATTATTTATCAAGGTGTTTCCGTCTGACCTCACATGACGAAGAAAAACGCGGAAACAATGTTTTTTGGTTGTTGTTTTTTTTTTCATGCAACATAGAGGTTGGTTGGTTGGTATCGATACTGTGAATGTACTAGTAATACGTGTTTTAAGGGATTACTATTCATAGTTTAAAAAATGGAGAATGAAGAAAGATGCGTCTCCAGCAGCTGTTCGGACTGGATGTCTAGGATGCCCTCGAGTTTTTGGGAGAAACCGCTGTGGAATATCGCTATACCCGGTAGGCTTACTAGGCTACGTCTGCTTATTTCAATGTTTTTTATTTATTTATTTATTTATTTACAGTTAATTTATTGCCTTAATTTCGATTGACTATTTAACAATGCTCAACATCTGTTTACTATTTTTCCAGGAAGTCATGACACCATGACTTACTGTTTAGATCAGCAGTCCTCAGTACTAGAGTCTGCGCCGAAGATGGTGCAAATGTTAGACAAATTATTTCCATGTATCGTTCGGCCCTGTATAATCAAATGGGCAACAACACAGGTAGTAACAGACATGATTATCCTCAATTTTATGAAATATGTCTTCAGTGGAACACAAAAGGCATGTTATCATGAGCCTCAGTCACCTTTTTTCGTTTCAAAAACAATGGTGACTGAATGGTGGTCATTCTGCCTCCTTTTGTGTTCCACAGAAGAAGAAAATGTCATGGCAGGGTTGAAACATTGCAAATGTGGGTATATTATGACAGGATTTGATGATAAACAGCATTTTTGTGGCTTTAGGAGAACAACATCTCTAACCAGTTGGATTTTGGCATTCGGTTTCTTGATCTAAGAATTGCTCATAAGATAAAAGACCCTAATGAAGTTTTCTACTTTGCACATGGGATCTACTCTCTCCTCACAGTAAAGGTACATCATCATTTTAAAAGAATGTTATATCCTAATTTCAATCGAGAATAACTATGGATGTGTTGTTTGCAGGAAGTGCTCTCAGATATTTCCTGCTGGTTAGACCAGCACACCAAGGAAGTGGTTATCATTGCACTTTCTGCCTTTGATGGAATGAGTCTGGATCAACACAGAGACCTCATTCAATTCCTCATAAGCACTTTTAGCAATAAAATTTGTCCTAATCATGTAAGTATATTTAATGTACAAAATTTGCAACTTTAATAAATAACTTGAATTTTAAAGGGATAGTTCACCCAAAAATGGAAATTCTGTCATTAATTAGTCACCCGCAAAACCGTAAGACTTTCGTTCATCTTCAGAAGTACCACTTTGGCGCTTCAAAAATTTAAAAAGAGATTGTAAAACTAATTCAAATGAATTGAACGGTTTAGTCCAGATTGTTATTCACTATCTCATAATAATTCCCTTGTTATTTGTGTTATTTCAGGTCACACCCTCACTAAAGGAGTGTTGGGATCACAGTTATCAGGTGATTTTGTCATATGATGACTCGGCTGCTTCTGGACAAGGGGAACTGTGGCCCCGCTGTATATATTGGTGGGCAAACACATCAGATCCAAATCGTGTCGTATCCTACCTGGAGGAGAGAAAAAAAGAGGAAGGGAGACCAGGTCAGTCACAATAAGAAACTGTGTTCAAATTGCACAGAACGATTAGGAAAGTAAAATAATATCTTTCGTTAAAGTTTGTTTTTTCTTAAATAATTGCTCCCAAATTTTCTTTTCAGAAAAGTTTTTTGCTGCTGGTCTGAACCTAACTGAGGATGCCAGGTATATAGTTTCTCATCCATGCCAGTCATTACAAAGCATGACCCTGAGCTCCTATAGTCTTCTTTTGAACTGGGTCAAGCAGCAGTGTCCAGGCTCAGGCAAAACATGTTTAAACATCATCTGTGCAGATTTTGTGGGGGCTTTCAGCAATGAGTTCTCCCAGCTGGTTATTGGACTCAATCAAAAACTCTTAAAAGAGACTTGATATTTAAATATGCCACAAATGACGTTACATAAAAAACATGTATTACATAAAATGTATCATCTTTATGCACATTACAATGATAGCGTTGTATGTTTACATATTAATCATTTTCCAGTCTTATATGACGGTCCCTAAACTGTGAAGGGTCAAAAATGTTTTGTGCATTGCTGCCATCTAGAGGCAATATTTAGGTTTCTTGTTTGTTTAGGAGACACATGCCTCAAAATAATGTTACTTGCAATTTCATTGTTGCATCAATCTTTAAAAATGTCAAAGAACTAAATGTCTTTCCTGCTTTTCTTGGATGTTTGATCAAATGGATAAGGCATATTTCTATAATCAAAGACTGAATGGCTCAATAGATTATATAGCATTACCTGTCCAATGAGTCACACTTAATTTTAATACAATCCAATGCCTTGTCATGACTTCATCTATTGTTGACACTCTGTTTGGCTGTTAGTCCACGTGGGTTACGTCTATGTATCTGTGGGGTCTAATTTTAGATGGTGCCTGTGATTGCACTTTCTAAGGTGCTTAACATTTATAGTATCTTAAGTGATAATCCAGTTCACCGATGCCTTTCACACTCGGTTTGTTTGTGTAGGGTGTGTGAGGTAAATACAAACATGTTGTTGTTTTTTCTCTTTTCTGAAAATGATCACAGAGAAACTTTTTAGAAAGTCTTTCCAAATTTACTGTAAATTAACATCTCACCTATTCCAAGACAAATCAAAATTTGTTTCTTGGGCAACATTTTTATACCATGCAGAGACATGTCATTTTAATAAATAAAAAAAATAATCTTCCACTATTGCATTAGAGTATAGTGTGTGCACTACATGTAATTTCCAAAGTATGCGGGGAAAATGTTATATATTGTTACATAGGTACAAACATTTTAATTATATTTACATGTGTTGAAAATAATGTGACCAATATATATGTTTCACATTCTTTCAGGGAAAAAGCATCATTACAACGTCTGAAAGTTGACAGCAGTGTTTTAGCATTACATAAAATGTATTGTCACAAAAATCAATGTCATTTTAACATCAATGTAAAAAAAAAAAAAAAACTATTTACATATCAATGACTCATTGCTCAACTTGGTGATATATAGTTATATCAATTTGAAAACTTACATCTAAAACTAGGGGTGGATGATTAGTTATCTTAATTTATCTTTGTAATTAAGAATAAGAACAAAAAGGCAAATTACAAACAATAGGACAGGTATAATAAAGCAGATTAAAAGTGCTTTAAGTTTTTCAGGAAGGTGCACAGTACATTAGATCTATTTAACAGTAGCATCCAAGTAAAAAACTGAATAATCAAATGTACAAAAGTTATTCAGTCCAGAGCAGTGAGTGATTTTCTTTTGTTGTTTGACACACAGCAGCAGGTTTTACTGTTTTAGGCTGCTGTCACTTTAAGACCCACCAATGTCCAATATCTTTGTAGCCGATAATAGTTTGCATTCACTTCAGACATAACCGAGCATGTTTAGGATACTCACTAAGACATAACTGTGTGTATTTGACCGTTCGAGTGCAACTAGCTGCTAAACAAAACTCAATTTAGGTTCGCATGCTGTCAGTTACTCTGCTGTTGCGATGTGTAAGTTTGCAATTATTTTAGTCATTTTGATATTTCATGCAGCCCTACAAAGTATTTAGAACTCTCTAAACAGATCTGGAACAAGATGCTTCCAGAGAGCTTTGAGAATCCCCACCTTCCTCCTAAACAGATTACTCAGGAGGAGTTAAAGGAGCCTGCATTCGGTCGCTGTGTAGTCTCTGTGAGGCTTAGAGCCACAGAGGAAACAGATGGGATAAGAAAACCAGGGGATCTTATTACAGAGGCTTAATCAGCAATCCAAGGCCTGTCCAGAACCCAGACGCACAGCTTCGGCCCCTCACAGTTTCTCTTTCAGAGGTACTCGTCTCAGGGACTGGAGATAAATACAGCTGTTTAACATGGAGAACGAGGAAGAGGAGGATGAAATCTTTACAACATTGCAGGGAGAAGATGAAGAGGAGAAGGAGGAAGAGGAGCCGGAAGCTGAGAGGAAGAGCAGTTGGGATGTCCCAATTCCAAGTCGATCAGTCGCCAGTCGCAGAGCTTCACTTCCATGCCCGGTCAGTACACAATACTTTTTTGTGTGTGTAAAGACACCAGTAGCTATGGGACAAGCTGTGGATTTGTCTTACAAGCGGCCCGCGAGCGGTTGATTCAATTAACACTTTTAAATAGTAACTCAAAGCCACACTTGTTTGTTAATCTTGTTATGTTTATTCTCATTTGATTTGTGAAATTTGTTAAATTATTTTTCAGCTAAGTAGTGATGCTTTTGCAAACCTGATAATCATAAATCTTCACAATTTGCCTTATGGGAATGAAGACCCAATACAATTATGAATCATCATTGAAATGTCACATTTTGTACAGAAAAACAATTCAAGTTGCAAATGAAAAAGATGCATCTCACAGCTGTAAAAATGCAAGATTTTCATTTTGATTTACTGGTTAGTGATATCAGAGATCAAAGTAGGACACCTTTTGTATAATCTAAACTCTAAGAAGAGCGTATCCTGAATTTACCTTCTAGTGTTTGGACAAACTGATTAAAGTAGTACCAAAGAGTCATATTTCAGACAGGCTAACATTACCGGTAGTTTTACTTTTTTGCTCTGCATCAAAACATGAGTTGAAATGAATAAGAAATCAATGGAATTATCTTATTCACTTGTCTTCCATGTGAACTCTTTGTACAAAATGCTCTTTGGATAATTTTCACATACTGGATAACATGGATTTTCAAATACATTTTTCACTAACATCTAGTTCAGTCATGAAACTCTAGAGGGCATGCAATCTGCAAGTAGCCACAACATTACAAATGGCACAAGCTGATCCTGCAGCCAATGAGATTGCTTGCTCAGAATTTAAATAGTGTGGTTCATTGTTTGCTGTAAGCTAGTACTGCAGATCTAGTCCACCAAGATCTAATACATTAACATTGCCATTTTCAATAACATGCTAAAACTATTCAGAGCGTTGTCATAATTGTTATTGTGTTATTCTTATAATTTCAATTGCAAAGCAATGTAATCTGTATGTGCCTTTATTTTATGCATGCATATTTTTCAGGCTCAGCTGAACGCGATGCATCTGAGCCGCCTGCTCTCTGCCACCGTGGCCACAAGCCCAGCTCACCTAAGCCACTTGCCTCAGAGCGGTGAGGCCAAGCCGTGCTCTCGCTTCAGCCATGTTGGCAATAATGGAACGCAGACCAAGGGCAGCACGTGTGAAAGACGCCCGCATGCCATCCCTACCATCCCTGAGGTGCACGAGCCTCTGGAGAGAAAAGCCAGATTTAGGAGCCGCAATGTCATGTCTCTGGTTGGTATGATTTATATGATTTTGCTTTATAATTGCTAAAGATGTGAATGATTGCCATTGGGTTATTCAATTTCAGGGGCATTTAGATAAAAGAACATGAGATCAGATCATTTTATTCTGACTTGATACAATGCTGTGTAGTAGTACGGAGACCCCTAGTTCCACTTTGTCAAAAAAAATTATTATAACTATCTCGTGGCCTCAAGATAGTAACTTGTGGCCTCACGATAGTATCTCGTGGCCTCAAAATAGTAAATTGTGGCCTCAAGATAGGATCTTGTGGCCTCATGATAGTAACTCGTGGCCTCAACATAGTATCTCGTGGCCTCATGATAGTAAATTGTGGCCTCACGATAGTATCTCTTGGCCTCATGATAGTAAATTGTGGCCTCAAGATAGGATCTCGTGGCCTCATGATAGTAACTCGTGGCCTCAACATAGTAACTTGTGGCCTCAAGATAGTATCTCGTGGCCTCAAGATAGCATCTCGTGGCCTCAAAATAGTAACTCGTGGCCTCAAGATAGTATCTCATTGCCTCAAGATATTATCTTGTGGCCTCAAGATAGTAACTTTTGACCTCAAGATAGTAACTCGTGGCCTCAAGATATAGTAACTCGTGGCCTCAAGATAGTAACTCGTGGCCTCAAGATAGTAACTTTGTGGCCTCAAGATAGTATCTCGTGGCCTCAAGATAGTATCTCGTGGCCTTAAGATAGTGACTTTGTGGCCTCAAGATAGTAACTTTGTGGCCTCAAGATAGTATCTCGTGGCCTCAAGATAGTATCTCGTGGCCTTAAGATAGTATCTTGTGGCCTCAAGATAGTAACTCGTGGCCTCAAGATAGTAACTCGTGGCCTCACGATACTATCTTGTGGCCTCATGATAGTAAATTGTGGCCTCACGATAGTATCTCTTGGCCTCATGATAGTAAATTGTGGCCTCAAGATAGGATCTTGTGGCCTCATGATAGTAACTTGTGGCCTCAAGATAGTATCTCATTGCCTTAAGATAGTAACTTGTGGCCTCAAGATAGTATCTTGTGGCCACAAGATAGTAACCTGTGGACCCAAGATAGTATCTCGTGGCCTCAAGATAGTAACTTGTGTCCCCAAGATAGTATCTCATGGCCTCAAGATAGTAACTTGTGATCTTGAGGCCACGAGATACTATTAGCTAGTATCTTGAGGCCACGAGTTAGTATCTTGATGCCACGAGATAGTTATAATTATTATTTTTTTTTTGGCAAAGTGGGACTAGGGGTCTCCATAGCTTTGGCAAGGCTAGAAATCTGAAGCTGTATCAATGCATGTACAACGCATACTAATACGCAGCTAAAAACTGAAAGAATAAAGCTAAAAAAAACAGCAAATGAAAGTTTTTTTACACAACAGCAACTAAAACAGTTTTTTTACACAACAGGGTTGTTTTCTTACTTTTTTTTCTTTCACTCAAGTATGTTTGAATATTTTGTTTGAGTTTTAAAGTCGACATGAAACAAATATTTGATAGTCTTTTCCCCCCTGTTATGATGTAGTGAGCAGTGAACCAGCTTCTCAAACAAGAAAAAATGTAGAGCGGGACTTGATTTTGTCCATGGGGAATTGATTGGATGGTTGTGGTTTGCTATTGCTCTGATGTCATGTGAGTGACGGGTTGTCCCACCCTCGTGACAGTAAACACATCATTACAGAAGTGAAAAAATGTCACTGAGAAAGGGAGGGGAACTTATTTTAATTAAAGATTATGGGCCGACATGGTTTTTCCAAAACATAATGGTATGTGCAGATAAATCATTTAAAATAAATATTGCAGTATTCCACAAAAAAATACTTTCTTAATACTTTTTAAACCTCACATTCACATCCTATTGATTATTTTATCTAAAACAAAATTGGATAATTTTTTTATTTTTTATTTACACAAAAGACGATATTTAGATAACTGTTTTTGCGTTTTTAGTCCATCCTATAAAAGTCAGTTGGGGTCCAAAGTTGTTGTTTTATATTTGGGAAATGGGAAAACTATCATTTTAATTAAATGGACAGGTCACATAAAAATGGAAAATAGAATTGCATTTTTGTATAGCTGTTCAAATATAATGTGGGGTGAAACAAATTCAGTTGGTTGATACAATCTGGTGTTTGTTTTGTAGAGTGATGCAGACAGTTTGTGTCTGATCTGTCATGACAACCTACGCAAAGGAGGAGGAGGTATCAGAGAGCTTCACTGTTCCCACAGCTTCCACAGTGAGGTAAACGTTCAGACTTTATAAACTTGTAGCCAACTTAGGTATTATAAATAGTCCAATTTAACATCAGAAATGTATTATTCCCAAACATAAATGGTCCATGAAATCAGGACATTTCAGATTAGCTACTATCTATTCTACATTTTAACTTCATGTAGCTGATGATGAGCCATTGTTTTCTCCTAAGAGTTCTTCCTCTTTCTCCCTAACCATCTTTCAGACGTGTCATTGTCCCATGTGGCTTGTTCTCTTGGGTTTTGAGATACTGTCCTTTGTAAAGCTGCTTTAGTATATGTTATTGAAAGCACTGTACAGAACATCTGAATGTAATTGGGTATTGTGCCCCTTTTTGCTGGTTTAGTGCATAGAGGAGTGGCTGTGGAGCAACCAGACCTGTCCCACATGTCAAAAGCATGTTGCCATGCCAGAGCCCCTGTACTGGAGATCTACCAGAGTTATAGTGCCCTGAGCTCTTCCAGAACCCATTCAAACTACCTTGGACATCAGCTTTTACAGGATGGTTACATGATGCGGACAGCTGACGATGGATATGAAAGAAACGGCTATTTTCTAAGAACAGAAAAGGTGGTCATTTGAATTATTCAGGAGAAACAGATGGGCAGAACATCTGTCTGGAAATATGGCTAATTGATTTTGCCACATCTGTGTACAATTGTTTGTTTTTGTAATTGTATTTACATATTAAGAAATTATATGTTATTTTCTATCATGGTTCTCTTTTTCCGCATACATCTAAGCAAACTGAACAAGTTGCATGAAAATGTAAAATTGTAAAATGCACCTCACTATATTTGTTAGTAGTTTGGACTGGTGTAGGCATACTTGATATGTAAATCAAAAAGTTATTGTAATGTATTCAACCAAAAAGTAGGCTTGCACCGTGTTGTGCTTCTTTACTATAAGAAAGTATATATGAAGAGTTCAGATGCAAAAGCCTCTAAGTGCAATTTGCAATTTTCTTCTAGAATGATCATTTTTTATCAAGCTTGTATATTTAAGTTCAGTAATTTCACTTAAATGGCAATGATAATTACCTATTAATTGTTATTTAAGTGAAATTACTGAACTTAAATATACAAGTTTGATAAAAATCATCATTAAAAAAGAAAATTTCAAATGGCATTTAGAGGCTTTTGCATCTGAACTCTTCATATATTTGGGGAATTTGTACTTTGAGTTCACACTGTATTTCACTGGTCATCCTTACATGGATTTATTATTTTATTGAAAATATGCAAAATGAGTCTTAATAAACTATAAATAACGTTTCTATGAAGTTTACAACCACTTTTTTGAAAACAGCCAATAAAACTGTTTCAATGGGATTGTAATTGGTTCTGTATTCATCATACATTTTGTCCCAAAGCAAGCTGTATTTATCATTAAAGGGTTAGGACCTTGACTCGAACGCTGTCTGTGATCAGGGTTTAAAAACAACTATTTAGTGTGCATTATTACACTATAACAATTCACATCTGAGGTGTCTTGGAGCCTTACATAAAACATGACATTTAGAAAATAGTGTACATGTTATTTAGCACAATTTTTGTTAAGTTACTGTAATGTGACCATGTATGTTTCATCAGTATTTCATATGTTCACTGAAGTCTAAATTCTCAACACTTTTTAAACCTCTCTTATTAACTTGTCTACATGTATTGTCTACATCCTAACATCCACTTTATCACATGTAATGCACAATTAGAGCATATTTATGGCTAAACAAGTGCAAACAAAACAGTTTCAGTAGGCTACAGTCAGTCAGTGTGTGTCTATTCAGTGCGTCAAACGTCATGACGTCGCGTAATTGTTACCGTGGCTACACACGGAAGTTATCTTGTGCACCTGTTACACTACCAAACAGGAAAAGGAACGAATTACTACATATTTTCTTGAACAAAGTTGCTTCGAGGCACTTTTTTTTTAACTTAACACATCTTTTTTGAATCGTTTTTAAACCAGTCAATCTCAACCTTAATGGATAAATTAAAGAAAGTTTTGAGTGGCCAAGATGGCAATGACGACCTCAACGTACTGCAGGTAACGTTAACGTTATAACGTTAGTTGCGTTTGACAATCTAAGTTAGAACGGGGTTTTATTCGCTATTAATTTTATGTTTTACTCAAAATACAATGTTGTGGTTTCGTTTTGATTAGCAGCTACGAATCTTTTGCTACGTATTTTTATTGACTGCGTGTTTACCCTACTGTCATTCGCAAACACTTAATCTGTCTATTTATAAATATCAAGTTATTAAATAATTTTCTGAATATAACAAAAACAACATTGTTTTAGGCAGCGAATGAAGCGTCAACACTGGGATGGGGCACGCGCGTCAAGGGATTCGTCGCGTGCTTTGTATCGGGCGTCTTGTGTTCAGTTTTGGTAAGACGAGAGCACAAATAGTATAATTTTGTTAGTTTATACAATATAGCCGAACGCATTCTCTTTCCTCACTTTTGTTATTCAGGGGACCTGCTTGCTCTGGGTTCCGAAAAGCGGACTGACACTCTTTGCAGTCTTTTACAGTTTAGGTAATATTGCTTCTCTTTTGAGGTGAGTCATGAATGCATCTTTATCTCCCCACCATTGATTTGATCTCAACCAAGGCGTGTCACTGTTTATATACTGTTTAACAAATGAATCGATTTAGTAACTCTAAAATGTGATAACCATCAAGTAGAAAGTACTAAAATAATTAATCTAATAAATATGTGTGATTGTAAACCTCTTAATATGTTGTTTTCTGGGTCTGGGAGACTATTAATAGCTCCAAAAAGTTCTTATGCTTCAGGATTTTGCATTGATAGCATCTATAAAAATCTGTAAGTGTTGAGGTTCTTTGGGTGTGGATTCTTTTCAGCACTATGTTCTTAATGGGTCCATTAAAGCAACTCAAGAGGATGTGTGACAAGTCGAGAGCTCTGGCAACTGGCATTATGATTGTAAGAATACACACACACATATAATAGACTGTAATGCATACAGAGAGATTCAGTTTTTCTTATCTTGTCTTCTAATTTGTGGCCTTTTTCTGTAAACTGAACTGTTGTGTTTTTAAAGACATGCCTGGTGCTAACCTTTTGTGCTGCCTTTTGGGTAAGTTGCTTTCTTATTTAACATGATTATGATTTTTTTAGCCTTATAAAGTTGGTGTCATAATATGTAATACAATGTTTGTTTTATATTTGTATGATCAGTGATCCTTTGCTTTCCTTATCTTTTTTTGTTGTTGTTTGTTTTTTGTTTTAGTGGAAGAATAAAGGCCTTGCTCTGCTGTTCTGTATCCTCCAGTTTTTGGCTTTTACATGGTAAGAATCCAAATAGCTATAGTTAAACACACACACACACACACACTAAATAAATATTCAAGAGTTCTCACTTTTACTTCTCTCTCTCACTCTCACTCACGCACACACATGATCTGAGATAGAGCAAGAAAGAGGGCAGAAAATATTATTTTAGTGTTGCCAAAATCAATGCAGGATAGTGCTAACTTCTAGTGATTTATTTCAATACTCAATAACTGATTAATAATGAAAAGGTAAATATTTGTTTTTAAAAGGTGTGTAAAGCCTAAGGCTGTCAAAGAGACGGTGCATTTACAACCTTTACTTTCTCTCTCACACACACACATAGCTCACAGCTCACAAATATGACTTATTTGTCTGTATTTAAATTACATTTACCCTTTTATTTTGCAGGTATAGCATATCCTACATTCCATTTGCAAGGTGGGTTACTATATATTTTCTGTACCATACATTAAAAAATATTGACACAAATGGAAATTGACAGTCATTTATGAAGATGCAAATAAACTAGTTCATAGATCTAGCAACCAATAAAAAGTAATTTAAAAAGGTAAAGACTGCCAGTGGCCCAATTTATCTGAACTTATTCTAGTAGTTCTATCTATTTAGTAGCCTAGTCTTTAGTATTATTCTAGTGGTATTATGCATGATAAGGTATATATAAATGTAAAATTGTGAAAATCTACCATTTCCATTTTAAAATATCAGTTTTGCAATTCATCAAACTGCCTATTAGACTAAAATAAGGTTTTCGGATCAAAGCTGTCATTCTGTCGAAGCCAAATAAAAAGGCACTTTTAGTGATCTCTGTTTTTGGCTTTGGCATTTATTTACCTTTTGCTGTTTGTTTTTATGCAGGGATGCAATTATTAAGTTGTTCTCCGCGTGCTTCAAGTGAGATGCCTCTACATTTGGCTGTGTGCTGCTCTGGCTTCAGCACTGGTTCTGCGTTCAATGCCACTCGTGTACCCACTCTGCAACCTGGCACAGACACCACACCACACTACAGGCGCTCCGCTTGCTCTCCGTAACGGATGGACACTCAATCTGTGTGAACAAGCACACACAGACAAGTACTCGATCTCTCTCTCTCTCACACACACACACTCACTCACACAAACACAAACACCTGTGTTTTACATTCAAGTGGGAAACTATGAAGGATGAAATATGTAATTGGGTAAATGGTTTGGTTTCGGACTCTGCCCTGTAACTGTAGTGACATGCTTGGTGAACAAGATGGAATTGCATATTTTACATTGAGTAATTGCTTAATAATTCCTTCCTATGTGCCTTTATCCAATGGTTACTTGAGAACTAGATTGGGTAGAACTAGATTGGGTCTGTATTAACCGGTGTTGCTGTTTTTGTTTAGTATTTAGGTTTCTTTCCTTTTTCTTTTAAAGAGAAATTTGTTTTTGCTACCAAGGGTTTTCTAAAATTACATTTCAATTTTTGCTTCAGATATTACAGTATCTGTTATAGATAAGTAATAGGATGACAGACATTTCTGTGTAATGGTATTACTTGTGTAATGGTATATTGGTATATTATCTATTAGATAAGTAACGTAGTAAGCACTCATTTGGGTGCCAATGTAGCTTTAAGGTTTATTCATCATCAACCAATCATACTGCTTTCAGTAAGCTTTGCATTTACACTGTAAAAAATATTGTTGGTTTAATTTTAAAAAAATAAGTAACCTGGTTGCTTTTAAAATTTTAAGTTCATTGAAATGGAAAAATTAAGTTAATACAATGAAGGAGATTGACACTCAAAATATTATGTTATCTGAACTACATAAATTATTTAAGATGATTTGACATTGTGATTACAAATCATCTTTTTCCTATGAATGTGTCCTCGTTTTTTCAAATCATGTCAAGCTCATTCCTTTAAATGTTTTGGTTTCCAGAATGACAACTTTAGTTGTTCCTCCTTGTCTTTTTAATAGTTTTAAATTTGATTTACTGAAGACGTTACTTTTTTATAGGTATAGAAGTATTATCCTTATACATTATGAAAATAATGCATTCCAGAATTATTTCATCATGACTGAAAATGTGGATTTCCCTCCTCATGTTTGTTTCATAATGAGTACAATACTGCTATGAAATATTGGTGTTTTTTATGCGAGATGTTTAATAATTGTTATATATTAACAATCGTTGCTATTAAAAGTTGTTCAGATTTATTTAGTCTACATGAATCAATTTCCCCTTCTCTAATTCTAGTTTTATTTACATCTTGTTCTCAATGCCTGCATCTCTTTTATTCAAAGTAAGTGCTGTCATTTAAGAAGCCCTCTTCCACATAATGCATCTATGAGTCTCAATAAGACTTTTTAGTTAAAGTTCACTGAAGTGCGCAAGTCATCTCTATAGTGAAAGGTCAGGGGGTTGATTTTCTGATGTTTGATATTCTCCGCTAATGAGACTCTATTTTTCGGATTTAAACGCTTTGAATTCTCTAATCTCCATGCGCGCGGCTGTGTGATTAGAGCGCCGGTCGCTGGATCGAGTTTCCGTTCATTCCCGTTCGCTGTTGAGAACATCCAGTATTGTATTTATGCTCCACATGGCTTGTACAATACTAAGCTCTTTGACAGCATGCCCTTATCTGCGCCGTCACATATGAGTCCATCCTGCGATCACAGTTCATGTTCTGATGTTTCATGCGCGTTCGACTGCAGTTCGCAAAAATGAGGTTTTAAATTATCACGTTTATGTAGCCTATGTCGTTCGTTAACTTACTTTTTAAAGGAAATATGCTGGTTTATAGCTGTCAAAGTGGGAAAAAAATAATTTTACATTTCAGAGACCGAATCTGCTCAATAGGCTAAGTTTAAAATCCATGTGATTACATGAAATAATACTTTTTTTTTTTTTTTTTTACAGAAATTATATATGAAGGTTATGGATATATCTTATTTCATTTTACCTAAGCACAACTTTTAATAATAAGCTAATAAAAAAGTAATCCTGTCTGTTTTAATCCTGAAAGATTTAAGCCCCACAAAAAATCCAAATGATTAATAATAATATAGGTGTAGCCGAATATATTCAAGTCATTTTTGAAAAATATTATGTAGCCTAAATAACTAGGCAAGATCACGTCATGTATAGCCGTACAATTCAATTTAATAGAACTGATGAATACATAAATTGTGAATTTAAGATTACGAAGAGTAGCCTCTAGCACGCGCACACACACCACACGTCCTTTACGAGCTGTCCGTGGTTCTGAAAAGAAACATCGAGTTGTTTTTTTTGGTCGTAAAAACTCATTTATATATTCGCAATACGCCTAACAGAGCGTTTTAGATATTACGGTTTTCTTCGTTTTACGTAAATTAGGCTATTTAAATGTAGCCTACGTTTATTTTTCTCTAATGTTCTTCCTGTCAGAAGTTTCGTTTGAACTTTCTGCGTAATATCTAAACAGCTTAAGTTCCTAAATAGAAATGTGAAGACTGGAAATAAATTTGAATATAGAATATTAGAATTTGTATTGAAATGGAAAAAAAAAATGCTTGTGAATGAATCAGTTAATTAGGGCAAGCCCACGTGACTGCAGGTTAGTCCTCCGGTCATAAGAACAGGTGGTCGCAGTGAGCTGAAGTACAGATCAAACAGCTACTGACACACACACTGCCTAAGACTTCTTTTTCTTTTATGATTGATGCAGTCCACAAGTTGTTAGGCACAGAAATCTTGTCATAAATGAAAGTGAGCTAAAGTTAAAGTCCAGTTGTTTTCCACTTGGCGCGCGCGCGTGTGAGATCATGAAGGTGGAGGAAGATGTGCGGAGCGGTGGTGCGGTGACCGGTGCTCGGGCCAGCAGTGACTGCTGTATCACCAGACTGCTGAGCGTCGTGGAGAGCGAGTTACAGGCCGGCCGAGAGAAGGGGGACCCCACTGAGAAACAGCTCAAAGTCACCCTGGAAGATGCTGAACTCTGGAGGAAATTCAAAGAAGTCACCAATGAGATGATAGTGACGAAGAACGGCAGGTGAGCCGCGATGAACCTCCGACAACGCCGTAAAAGTGTTTTAATACAGCAGTGTTGTTTGTTTAAATTATTTAACACATTTGTTGTGCACAGAATATGTTATAAAATTGTTTTGTGAAGTTTACTTGTACTTATGAAGAGAATTATAAGTTAATACTTTCTAATTGCTTATACTTATTTAATTAGTAGTTACTTCTAATTTCCAATCCTCTTTTTGAAGTCACATAAATGTAATGATGCATTATAATGTCTGTGCAGTATTTAACAAAATATTATAATTATATATGTGTGCTATGTCTTTAAAAAGTTTTGAAGAAAAAAATTACATTTATTAGGTTTTACGTGATAAAATTGTTTAGAAGAAAAAAATGGACACTTTCTGGTTGTCACTCTGTGAGGATATGAGAATCTCATATATGTATAAGTTGCTTGAATTATTTTAATGAGTTAAAATAAATGTAAAAACATTGAAATTTACTGATTGATATTTAGGATATTTTAATTGTGACCTAAGTGTCCAAATTTCTGGCCAGCAATAAAATTTACTGCAATATTGTTTCTTGAATGGTATAACAGAGAGAATAGGGGAAAATGAAGATAAAGAATTTATCAGTCAGTGTCATAGTTTGAACCTAGAACTTTAAAAGCAAATTTGTGGCTCGTAATCCTTTTTGATAATGTCAATATTAGGTGTAGTTTTGGTGTTACTTTTTCATAAGGATTTTCATAACAATTTGGATTACTAAAGTCTCTCTAGATATCTGCTTTCAGTTATCCATCTGTCTTTCTATCAAAATGCCTTGTCTCAATGTCTCTAAGCAGGTTTGTAATTTTACGTCACTATATTGGCACATGGTGGTGTTTTTGATGTTTTTCGTTTTTTTTGGATCAGGAAGATTAATTTAATTGAAAAAAGGCTTGTGGCATTGTCAAGCTGAAGGGTGACTTGACCAACTCATTCAGTAGTTACAGGTCAGCTCTGCAGGTGGGTGTCCTTCCATTTGCAGCCCCTCTTAAACTTCTCATCCATAAAAAATAATCATGGGGGGGAAAAAAGTGGAAATGACTAGCGTCCAACCTCTCATGAAGTTTGTGCTTGTAACTGCTCGTAGAGTTTTGGCAGGCAGTGTGAATCATTGTTGGGGAATAAATTTTTTAATCACGTATGTGAGAGTGTGACAGCTTTTGGATAACTAAGATTTTCGTCTTAAAGGGATGGTTCCCTTAAAAATGTAATTCCAAATCTGTATGGCTTTTTTTTCTTGTTTTTGTCCATGAAGTGAAAGCCAGTTTGATCCAGCATTGGAACCCTTTAAGTTTCATTGTATGTACAAACATGAAAACATCTTTTAATACACATACACCTAAACATACACTCTTGAAAACAAAGATTCCAAATGAAGGTTTTCACAGCAATGGCATAGAATAACGATTTTGGCAAACCTTTCCTTTGACAGTTCCTAAAAGAACTTATTTTTCCACTATGAAGAACCAGGCGCTGGTTTTAACATAGATATTGTTTAACATAGAAGTTAAAGATTCTTCATGCAACCATCAATGCCAATAAATAACCTTTCTTTTATAAAGAGTACGCAGTAACCATTTTTGAGCAATTCTTCTGTCATAATTCCTTTGTAGGAGGATGTTTCCAGTTCTGAAGGTCTGCGTGACGGGTCTGGACCCCAACGCCATGTATTCGTTCCTGTTGGACTTCAGCCCTGCAGACGGGCACCGCTGGAAGTACGTGAACGGCGAGTGGGTCCCTGCGGGCAAACCTGAGCCTCACAGTCACAGCTGTGTCTACATCCACCCCGACTCCCCCAACTTCGGTGCCCACTGGATGAAAGCTCCAGTGTCCTTCAACAAAGTCAAACTGACCAACAAACTCAACGGAGGAGGCCAGGTGCAGAAACACTGACACGTACACACACATTTGCAATGCATGAAATAGCTTTACGGCTGAAATAAGTTCCACTTCTCACGCCATGAGTTCCCTTTCGTATAGGAACTCCTACTTCTCGTCGGAGGAGTTTCCAACGAATTGGGACGAGACGTCTCCGTTCCCTACTCAGGGAACCATACGTAACCGAGACGTTTTCCATTATTGATAAATCTGAGAAATTGACATTTGTTCCGTACATTAAAAACAAAGACTGCACATTATATACATGCAGTATACGTGGCCCGCTCTGTCATCTTGAGTTGCATCTCAGGTCTCTTGTGTGTCCAAACAGGCCTCTCTGTAGCTTTTAGGAGTCTTGGCCTGCCTTTAATCACCCTGTGCGCTGCCACGGGAAATTTCAAGTGCGCATTTATACAATTAGTGCTCTCCTCGGCATCCACTTCACCTATGGAGCCCCTTTGTTCAGCGGGGACTGCATGTAAACAGGAATAAACAGCTCTTAATTGGCACTTTTCTCGTTTAATGCACTTCCTGCCGTTCAGACAGAGAGTGGTCTACTTCAGCTAGCCATCCTGGCTTTCAGCGAGGCCGCTGCGAGGTGCTCCAGCCCGCTCCGTTCGAGTATGACTCCGCCACCAAATGATTATTGGTATTTACATGACCCCTCCCCTGCGCCCTCCCCGCCACCCCATCCTCTTCTCCTGTATTCCTGCCTGGTCCCTATTTACCGGGGTTTTTAAACGCAGAGCTGGCAGCGGAGAGGACGATGAGAGAGAACCAGCTCTAAATGAAATAATTGCTGTGGTTAGTTGTACATTATGGTAATTACCTCTGTTTTTTTCTATGCAAAATTAATTTAGCCATCAGCCCTTAGATGTTCAAAAAGGCAACATATTAAAAAAAGGCAAATGGGAGAGAAAGGCACACAAAGCCCTTTATGTCCCCCCCTGTAGCCATGCAGATGAGTACCTGCCCCTCATCAGTCATTGTAATCTGCCAATTAGAGAGAGAGAAAAAAAAATCGGCTTTTCTCTCTCGTTCCGCCTGTCTCTTTCTCAGAATTCGCCCGATAGATTTATTCATGCTTGACGTGGTCACTGCAGTCATTCCAAGAATTTTTTATATAGACAATGCAGTGTGTGTAAATATAAAAAGCTACCAATATGAAGTGATACTGTCAGAATTTAAGAACTGGCTCCTTTTTGATTTGAATTACATTGTGCTGTGACATGAATTATTATATCTTGATATATTAGACATATCAAAACATTTAAACAGACACCAAACTCGT